TAATTTCTGGTCTACTTCTATTAGGATTTAAGTCTTTGCAAATAATGAAAACACCAATGTTATTAGTTTAATCAACTGAAGAGGAGGAAAAGAGGAAAGCTGTGACACACCCAGCTCAATCTTTTCAATAGCTGTGACCTCTGTATTTGAGAATAGAATTGCTTCTAAACTCTTCTCACATTCTAAGCATCTTTATCTCTTCACACTCCACTGGTCCTTCTAGCACATGCACAGGAAAAAAACCCACCTGGAAGGTGTATAAAAGAATTCCCCTGTCTCCCAGCAGCCTTGACTTGTACTCCAGCAGTCACTGTCAGCATTCTAATTCTACATCAATGCTTCCACATTGCTAAATGCAGCTTTTAACTTTCAGGTGACCATTTTTGCCCCCAGGCATAACAAAACTCAGAGACATTGTTACAAAAGCTGCCAAACTCAAAAAGGTGGGTGGGAAGATGAAAGAATGCATCAGGGTTGCTTGAGACTGATGTGGTGGTCTCCTGCCCATCCCCCCCCCCCATATGGACAACATAAGCACATATGATAAAAAGTGGGAATTAATAGTCTTGATGTGTTCAGCCCCAGATACCAGGCCACAGTCTTTTTCTAATAGCTCTCCAGACTGTGGAGTTCTGACGCCTGAGAATGAGTGCTCCACCGGGCTTCCCTTGCTGCCCTGGTCCAACGTTCTGTGAGGCTTTCTACGATTCAGAAAGCGTCCCCAGTACACAGCAGTAACTATAAGAAAATATCCAGTCCAGGGAGACCCACCTTCGGGCATCATTTGCCATGCTGCAGATGGAGGTGGTAGGGCAGCTGGATTAAAGCATACACAGAGAAGCAGAGCTCCTTTTCATCAGGGCCGGCCTAGATGGGGGAGGCTGAAATGAAAGGTTTGAAGGGTAAAGGACAGCAGCTGAGAGAGTGTCCCCGGAGCGGTACAACAGGCGCCAGGTCACTGCAAAGCACGACGGGGCTGCGATGCAGTCAGGGACTGAGCGAGAGCGGGAGAGACTTGGAAGGAGTACCGTGTGAAATCTGATGAGTCAAGAAGAGAGAAATAAAAGGACTGTGGAGAAGCCAGAGAGGCACGGCTTAGGGCAGATACCTTCAGAGTATAAGAGACTCCATCAGAAATTTATGGTTTTTAAAAGCAACTCAACAGCCTGGATGTATAAGTAGAGGGCTTGTTCAGTGGAGGTCATCTTTAGCCATGGAAATTAGAAAAACCTGCAGCAGTTCCAGAGGGCAAGAGATTTCAGAGAGGAAGTGGGTTCCCGGTAGACATGGGTAAGAGCAGATGAGGGTTTGTGGACCAGGAGACCAGGCAGCGAGAGGGAGGTCTTCCTTCAGAACAGAGGGCAGCTCGGTGGTGGAGAGATGGAAGGTCAATGGCTGTGGTCAGAAAGGCGGAGACTCACAGGGGGAGATCCTGGTGCAGTTGCTAATGAGGATGAAATCTAGAGCGTGTCTACACTGGCAGATAGATAACGTGGGATGATGTGAAGGCTACTGGAATAAATTTGGGCACAGGAACTGTGATTAAGTGGTGACCTTGAGTTTGAGAGGATGATGGGAATAATGAGTGGAAAGAAAGACCATGATGCAGGTACTGCTAAGATAGGGATAGTACCAGAGGGATTCTGTGCTGAGGAACGGAAATGGGTGATGAATAACAGAATAACAGAATAAAGAACAGCAGAAGAAAGTGCTAGCCCTTGAAGTCGAGCAATGCTGTAGAAGTGGTCGTGGGGTATGAGAAGTACTGGAACTTTTCCCCTTGGCCTCGTGATTACAGGGAGTGGACCCACCACGGGGACTGGGAGGGACGCCATGTGACTTGGAAGATCCAGTTGCAGTTAATGTGAGCGGGTGAAGGACTGGGGAGAGAATGATTTGAGAATGTAGGAAAGTTTGTCCTTAATAGGATTACAGTTCCCAAAAGATCTGTGCAAGTGTTTAGGTTAACAGCTCTCAACCTTGGCTGCACAGCAGAATACCCCAGGGAGTGCTAACAAAATCCTCAATAACCAAACCAATTAGATCAGAACTTTTGGGTTGGGATGCTGGAGCGAGTCTTTTTTGAAGCTCCCCAGCTGATCCCTCTGTGTGCGGGATAGAGAACTCCCCACTTAGAAAGAGCGTGAGTGAGGGAGGGGTGGGCCTGAAGAAGGAGGAGGTATTTGGAAGGAGCGATGGAAAAGCTGGTATTATGGGTAAGAGCGATTAGGAAGCAGGGAGTTGGGAGAGAGACTGGTCGGGAACATTAGCAGGCAGTGTGCCAAGACTGCAGAATTTAGGTAACGAAGGTCCTGTCTGAGTTATCAGCCCCAAACTTCCAATACAAGTGTGGGTGTGAGGCAGCGTTCGTGGGACTGAACTAATCATCTCTTCAGTATGTTGGACAGACGGTTTACCTATAACTAGGATTTTGGTTTCTGCATTATTAAAAGGCCACGAGGTGCAAGAAGGCCTTATCCATTATTCATGTTTGTTTCAGGCTAAGTGCTGGGTCCCCAGATGCTGAGAATTTACAAATGTCTATTTGGAAAGCACTGACCAGGATACAAACGGCTCTTGGGTTGCTTTCACTGCTTAAACCTATTTGTCAGTCTTTCTCCGTGTTGACTAATTGGAATAATCAAAATTATTTTATGAAGTATTACTATTTTTTGCATGGATTTGTGTGTGTCTGTTGGGAAGAAAGGTCAAGAGCGCCCGAGTGTAAAAACTATGTGTGTGAATATAAAATAGGTGTATCAAACATTTCAAATATGATGGAGGTCTTCTATGATATGCTTTTTGCAATGATTTTTCTTGGAATTGTTAAAAAAATTTGCTTTAATCAGACCCCATGGCTCCCCTACAAACACAGTTTTCCCTAAGAAGAATTTAAGCCCAGGATGATTTCTATCCTGACAGTGTCTCAGAAGTATCACATTTGCAAGGAATATAAAAGAAATAACCTTAAGCTTTACACTAGAGCTGTGTGTTCACATCATTTATTCAACTTCAGAAACTCCTATGGGCTCGACCATCAAAAATATATCCAGCAACTGATTACCTCTCATCCCCTCCATGGACCCAATGTGCAACACCCAGTTTTCATGACCCAGAAATACTAACTGGGTGGAAACCCCAGAAGGAAATGCCCTGATTTTCAGACACAATTTCTTCTCTTGCCTTCCTTGACATATTTTTCTTCCACTTCTCTTCCTCCTCTGGGTGCTCACCCTTCTGTAACTCCTTTGCTGGCTGCCCTTCCCCCTCCCTTGCAATGGCAGTGCTCCCCTTGGCCCCTATGCTGTAGGGTACGGCTCTTTGAGCAATCCACTTTAGGTGTGGAGAGTCCAGACTGCAGCCAGCTGCCTGGGCGAGAAGCCTGCTTTCCCCACTCAATAGCTGTGTGACCTAGAGCAACTTACTTAACCTTCCTGTGCCTTGGATTGCGCATCTATAAAATGAGGACAATGGTATCTTACCAGGGTTGTTGTAAAGATCAAATGAGTTAATAAAAAATATTTAGAATCTTGCCAGGCACATAGGAAGTTCTCAGTAATATTTATTATTTTCATTATTATTTTCTCCCTCTACTCTCCCTTGATATTCTCCCTGATCACCACGGATGACAAATATCAATATTATAGAGTCGGTTCCTGCGTCCCTCTCTCAGGATCTGCTCTCAGTTCGGAGAGCTACACTCATATTTCTAACTCTCCCTTGGGCATCTTTGTCCTGATGTCTAATTCATACCTCTAACTCAATATTCCAAAAGCAAAAGCACCATATCCACAACCCAAAGCTCCCTGCCCCTTGAGTTTGCTACTGTTACTTAGAGGCAGACTTGACCTTCTGCTCCCCCAGTCAGTGTTAGTTACAGGTCCTGCAAGAGTTACTTGAACAGGATCTTTCACACCTATTCCCTTCTTCCCACTCTTCTGTCATCACCTCAGCTCTACTGTGCTTTACTTCTTAACTTGACTCTATCTTTTCACTGACGTCAGACTAATATTTCTAATGTATTTCCAATCATGTCTTTCTTCTGTTTAAATCTCTCCATTAACTCAAGAAACTGAATCTCCACTCCCCCCTCTGGCAGTCAAGGTCCATCCCAACAAAACTGCCATCTATCATTCTAGGATTACTGGAAATAATATGCCCATGTAGAGTCTGTATTTATTGTTCCTTCTGTGTTTCTTCATGCTGTTCCCTTCACCTGGAGATCTTGTATTTTTTTCCCATTACTGCTGGTCAAACCCTACCTTTCATTAGGGCCAATGTTAAATGTTAGCTCCTATCCAGATTTCCTCCAGATAACATGATGCCTCCGTCTCCTGAACTCCCGTAGAATGTTGCGTTCATCTACGGCATTTATCACACTCCAACCTGTCTCCAAGTCTTTGGCATACTTCTTTTGTTCCTCCTTCTAGATCATAACTTCTTCAAAGGCACTTACTATACCCTTTAAAGCTTCAAGTGGGATAACATAAACGGCAATAACAGCACCAGGAATTAAGCTCATTTATTCTGCAAAGCAGCAGCTTGTTGTCAACTGCTAACCCTCCTCCTCACAGTGCTCATAAAAAGAAGGGGGAAGCATATCAATGAAGCAGCACACCAGAGGAACACACGGTGTGAGCAATTATGCCAATTCCTTTTATGGGAAGAACACAGCTGAAATAAACATGGAAGCAGATTATTTACCATCCACGGGTCTCGTTGCCAAATTCTTCCACTTCTAAATTTTTCATTAAAAGAAATCAAGGAAGGTAAACAAAAGTAGCCCTTGCGAGGAATGAGCATAATGGAAACAACTCATTTATCAGCATGGCCTCAGAGAAATGTCTAATTTTTTTTAACTGTGTTTTTTGGGGGCCAAACACTTGTGTTCCTGCACTTGGGTGCACGCACGCATACACATCTTTTCTAGGTGTGCGCAGACACCAAACCTTGGTTTTGGTGTGAGGGTGAGGAGGGTGGGTCAGGCCGGAGCCACTTACCTTCAGGGCGTCCTGGGTGTCATCCAGGCAGTAGACTCGGACGCTGTACTCCAGAGAGGAGCAGCAGAGTGGCCCGAAGATGGCCAGCTTGAGGCGCTTCGCGGCCGCCTTGGTGGTGGACTGGCCGACCAGGGCGTAGGTGCCGAGGCTCTCGGTGAGGAGGTGGCAGGCCTCTGCGTCCAGCTGAATGTAGCAGGGCGTGGTGAAGTTTTCCTCTCCCACCACCACCACGTCCTGCGGGACAGGAGGGAGGGGCCCTGGCTGAGCCACTGAGGATCCTGCTGGCCACTGTGATGGTGGCCAATGGCACCTCTTCCCCTGAGTTTTGACTATTGTTTTTCCTGCTCTTTTTTCTTTCTCGGGCTTTGTTATACCTCTATCTCCATTCTTAATCCTTCTCTCTCTTGCTTCCCTTGCCCTTACACTGATAATATTCTCTATGTAGATGCCCCCTCCTTAACATTTTTTGATCTTCCAAGAATCCACATTACTGGAATCTACATAAAATTCCAAAAGAAATTCACAAATTATCCTTTTAAGTTTAGTGTACCTGAGTTTATTATCTGTTTCTGAGAACTTAATGTTTTAATCTCTAAATTTCTTATTTAATCCAAAAGTACTTTTTTATTTCAATGTCATTAAAGCATCATCATTTTTTCCCTAAAAATTTAGAGCCTTGAAAAGAATTAGAGAAAGTAAGGAATTATGCAATATCATTCTACTGTATTCTTCCAAAACCCATGTGCCAATAATTTTCCAAAGCAATACATTGCTTTTCCTCAATAATCCGAGCTGCTAGACTCTACAGAAGGCTTATGGAATGGAATATGGCAAATTCCATGCCTTTAAAACATTTTTCTCTGTTATTTTTCAAGTAAGACTTTAAACAGTCTACCCTTTTAGACTTTGGCAATATGTAGCAAGATATAAAAATACCTTGGAAGTGATGAGTTTTGTAAAAATAGTTACTAACTCAAACAGGTTTTAATTTATCCAAATGGCTCGGGCTGCAGAAGCAATCATCTGTAAGACCAACCGTAGGATCCATGACTAAGGGTCGCAATTCCACATGCCTCCTGGGGCAACCAGGTAATAGGAACGTGTGAAGCAGGCAGGGAAGAAGACAATAAGGCGAGGTGGAGACTGTGGGGAAGCAGAGCCCAGAGCAGGAGCCTGACTAAAGAGCTCAGTCTCCACCTGGCCTCAGCTCATTGCGGCTCTGCAGGAATGCAGGCCCAGGAGGACAGAGCCTTTAATTTTCCAATAGAAGCTGGAAGTTCATAATTTTATGCAAAATCTTCCACCTTTTAATTAATTCAAATTTAAAAGAATATTTCGTGTGGGAGAAATAAACATGTGGGCACGATTCAGCCTCTCCATTAGGCTACTTCATCTCCACAGAGGCAGGAACTGTATGTACTTTGCTTCCCTCTGTATCTCAGTAGGCCTGGCGCATGGTAAGCAAATGGTTATTTGTCAAAAAAAAGGAATGAATGTTTCATTGTAAATTGAGTCCCTAGGGCTGGTAAAAGACATGAAAGAAGTAGCTACCCCAGGTGGCTGTTTATTAGTGAGGCCTTGCATCATCCTCAGAGCTGTAGAAAGAGCTGTGTTTCGAGAGGATCCATGAAATCATTTCTGCATCTGAACCTGTACCCAAAGATGAAGCTCAAACTGAACCAGAAAAGAGAGAAGGAAGCTCAGCACCTCCAGGTTTACTCTAGCCCCAGAAGGACACCTGGAAAGAAGCGGCTTTCTCCAGGAGGGCCGGGGCAAGCCTCAAGCATCATCTAATGAGGGCACGTTATAGACAGCCTGCTAGAAGATGTGGTCGGGAACAAAGATGCTCCATGTCGCTGCCACAACTACAAGAGTGTTTTCATAAGGACTGACCTCTTCTACTCATCTCTTTCTTTTATTTTATTATTATTATTGTTGTTACTGTTATTATTAGTCAATTTCAGAAATAGACATGTTTTAGGGTATTAGGCAGAGAATCATGCAAACAATTTAGGATCACTTGAGATTAAGACTTTGGGATGTTTTTGAGATAAATCACTTACAGCTTAAATGGAACTGAAGTTAGATCTGGTTAAGTCTGGTCTTAACTCAACATAAAGTACATCCCTAGACTTCAATCCTAGACTTCAGGTTCTCTGGCAAGAAGTGACCCCTCATATGGCCAAGAGGAGAACATGTTCACAGAAAGGAAATTCTAGGTAATCCCAGGGATGCCCTGGGACTCTTCTAACTCTAACAGTACTTTTTCTTAAAATATTAGGGGCTTGAATCTTCATGTATATTGTCTCTAAAAATTTCTTTCCTAACAGAAAAATATCATAAGTAAGCACAAAATATATAACATATAGATTGGATACTTCTCTTTGTAATGATTATACAAAAATACAGGGGTAGCTTTTAAAACTATTTGATATCTTTTGATAGACGTATTCCTGAAATATGCTTTCCTGAGAATAATCTAAAATGTAATTTTTACCTGTCTAGTTTCCACTTAAACAATTTGTTGTTAGTGCCATGGAGTCTATTCCTACTCCTGGTGACCACAACTCCTAGTGACCCTGACTCCTAGTGACCCTGTGGACAGCAGAGCGGGACCCTGCCCCGTCTTTTTGCGCCATCCTCTCACCTTCCAGTGCTGTATCAGACAATGCTCCGCTGCTATTCACAAGGTTTTTGTGGCCTGATGTTTTGGAAGTAGGTAGCCAGGTCCTTCCTCCTAGTCTGTCTTAGTCTGGAAGCTCCGCTGAAACCTGTCCACCCTGGGTGACCTTGCTGGTATTTGAAATACCAGTGGCTCAACTTTCAGCATCACAGCAACATGCAGCCACCACAGTATGACAACCGACAGATGGGTGATGTGGTTCCCAGACTGGGAAACGAACCCAGGCTGCGGAGGTGAGAGCGCTGAATCTTAACCACTAGACCACCAGGGCTGGGTATTTAAAGGGATAATAATGAAAATATACAAGCTTTTTTTTTTAAGGTATTAGGTATAAAATCTTCATGGTAAATATAACAAATCCTTTTGCTCTTAACTTTAGGTGCTAACTGAAGGGCTCTGATGGAAAGAACAGGGTCGGTTCCAGGCACAGTCCTTAAGCAGTTACGATGGCGGCAGCCACAGAGAGTTAGGACGCTGCAGATGTGCTTCATTCTAGCGGAGCTGAGGACACACCCTTGCTGTTTTCCCAGGTTAAGTTCAGAAGAACTATATTCCTGGTACTTGTCTGCAGGTAAGTGCCTAACATTTTCTGACCCAGGTGCAATGTTTTTCTACCTGCGCATTTAATAAATAAATATATATTTCCCTTCCCAAGATAGAGTATGTATCCTCCAAAAGGGGCTTGTGGGAGACTAAGTGCACTTGCCCTGTGAGCTAGCTAACACCTGACCATCATTTTCTCTCTGCCTATCAGTCAGTGGATAAAGCATTCCGGAACCAGTCTGTTTCTCCGTCCCTCTCTCTCCCGACTCCTGCCTCCCTCCCACTCTCTCCCCTTTCTTTGTCTCTCTCTCTCTCTTTCATTTTGAGTGTAAGCTAAAATTCCATCCATGTTTTGCTTTAAAAATAAAAGCCGTCCCATAATTGCTCCTACTTATGTGCACGCATTGCTCCTGCGTTCCGTCTTCATCCCAACAGAAGCTCACCTCCCACTGTCCCTGTGCTGCCTGGTGCTTGAGCTGTATCTTCCAATCCTCGGAAGTGGGATCTGCGCAGTGATGCATAGTGAGGATGACGGGGCGGGTCAGCAGGGCTCCCGGAGGCCCACAGCTCACCACGGGGGTCAAGAGTGTTTGGGTGTCTTCCATGGGTGGCCTAGGAGGAGAGCAGAGAACGGCATCAGTGACGTAGTATTTCCATAGAATTTATGTACTATGTACTCATTGAGATTTTAGATCTAAAGTTGTACAAATAGTTTCTTCTTGGAGTTTCTTTTGTGGGGGGAGTGAGGCAGAATTAAAGGGAAAGACATGCTCTTTAAACCAAGACTTTAATACTGCAGGACTGGAGGTCTTTGTGATAACAGTGAACCTGCCAGCATCTCTTTGATCCCCTTCCTGCAGACACAGGTACTTTCAGGATGGAATGAGAAGGAGCCAAGTCTTTATGAGGTTACATAACCGTCTTTTGTGATAATACTTGCCACTGGTCTCACAGGGTTTTAAATACTTTTGTGTTTTTAGGACCAAACTTGAAAAATATTTAAAAAAAATAACTTCAGAATTAGGACACCCTAGAGCTAAACTTCTTCCAAATGACTTTCAGGAGGAATTCAGGCTAATATAGCAGCTTCCTTCTTTCAAATATGACCAGAAAGAACATAGAACTGTATTTCTGTAGCAATTTAAAATGAAATCTCTTTATTTTTATACTTCATTCTCTGAGAGTCTGGGCGGAAAGAACCTTACAGCTCCAAAATCTTTATTTCATATATTTTTTTAATTCCCTTAAATCCTTTCCCTAATAAGATTGTAATCAACAAGAAAATGGATAAATTTACTCAAGCTATCCGTGAGGAAGTCGTCCCAAGGTGCTGAGTGGATTGCCTAAATTCTCACAACTAACAAGAGGTAGTCCTGGGACTCAAACCAATGCCTCTCAACAACAATACCCACAACTGCTCTGTCAGAATAGCGTGGCTTAAGCAATCATGGACTCACAATTTTAGAGGAAGAAGGACCCTCGGGGTCAACAAGCACCACCTTCCATCCAAGGCAGGAGCCTCTCTACAATACACATCCTCAATTTTTTTTTCAATTTCGGCTAGAAAAGCATGGTTTCTACATATCTTCCTATATTTCTATCTTCATTTTCATATAGATGTCTGTCAGTGTTTCAATGTCTTCACTAAAGTGGGGCATCTTGAAATGAATGTTAACACTCAAGTAGACAGTCTGGGGGACTACTATTTTTTTTTTTTTTAAAGATTTTATTTATTTTTTGCCCCCAAAGCCCCAGTAGATAGTTGTATATCACAGCTGCACACCCTTCTAGTTGCTGTATGTGGGACTCGGCCTCAGGATGGACAGAGAAGTGGTGCCTCGATGCGCACCCGGGATCCGAACCCGGGCCGCCAGCATCGCAGCGCGCGCACTTAACCACCAAGCCACAGGGCCGGCCCAAGGGGGGACTACTATTTTATTTGATTTGGAATATGTAGTTATATAGTGCCTCACAATTGTTGCTTTAGATTATTCTCAATCAATTATTTATAAATATTATTTTGCAGGCTTCAGTTAGATGGGAAGATAGAGACAATATGGTTAAGCATCTCCTTTATAAAATGAGGCAATGAAGCCCTAAGAAGGTTAAGTAACTTGTTAAAGCTAACCACTCTATATATTCCTAACATGAAAGGCTCTTAGGCTAAGTCTATAGTTCTGTGGTTGCGATGATAGCTTTTGAACCTATGTACGGAAATTCATATTTAGGTATTTAATTTCACCTTAATAGTTTCAGGGAAAATTTCAGGTCATCTATTTCTTAATGCTATGTCTTTCTTCCAAATATTGGCTATCTCTTCCAGTCTTTTATCTTCCATAAATCTGATATGTCTGCCATTTCTGTTCTCATTCCAATCATTGATAATATTGTAATATAAGAATAGGGCAAAGACAGAGACCTTTTCAATGACACCACTTGAAACTTCGCTCCTGTCTGATATCAATACTTTGAGTTATTTAGTTCAGCCAAATATAAGCCCATTTAAATATACACTGTCCAGTTCACATCTTTCCATTTCATTCACATGGATATTACAAGGGACGTATCAGATTGCTTTATAACTGCAATGGCCACTTGAAATGGAATTTTCTCTAGTCTTTATCTATGGTTTATATATTAAATATTACATAATCTAGAAGTTAACTTATATCTGTGGGCTCATTTAACACTCAGTGAATGATAGAAACTGTTATTATTTTTTGAATATTGTTGGAAAACAATTCTCCATGGATCTCTCACCTTTTTGCACTTTCTTGACTGTCTTTTCAAAGCCATTGTATAGCAATCACCTTGGAAGACAGAGATAGTGCTTACCCCTAAAGCAAATGGCAGACAAGTCTACTTCCCAATATAAAAGACTCAGGTTCCCTAAGCTCAGGGTCCTTTCCTGGAATGCAACCACTGAGTGTGTAGATATCACCTGACCCTCTTGGCATCACTCTTTCGGAAGTGGGGCTCAGGAAACTGGCACTAAAATGATGATACTCTGGATAGGGCTATTGCTATGAGTAATAAACCGCCCTTTGTCTCTGATTCAGGAGTCTTGTGTCATCTACCAGTATCCACAAAACTGTGGCAGCCAAGTTGGTAGCTCACAAGCAAGATTAAATCTTAGAGATTCCTCAGTTCTTGACAATTATTATCATAAGTTCTAAGAACTCAATTAAAATTGGGCATATTTTCCCCTTAATAAAACTTGGCCAGCACTGTTTCCTCTCTCATTCTAAAATTTCAACAGGATCTCATCAACCTATGGCTTTTCTTTCCTTCCATTTAGAAAATCAAAACAATTTTTATCTCCTTTTAGCTTTTTAATACTGTCTCCATTCTCACTGAATAACAATGCAGTTTTATTAAATCTAAAGTTATTGAATTACTTGGAAATGTACTTATAGTTGGAATCATAGGTTATTGGCAGCTTGAGAACTCATTACTATCCCCTTTGCCCCATCATTTTCATTTCCTCTTAACCCAGTTTTTCCTCCTTTCTTCCAGTCTGAAATTCATTCTCTTAGAACATGAGTAAAGTTTTGCTTTCATTGTTTCATAGTTGATATTATACCATCTGCCCTAAGCAGTAACCTTATTCTTGCTTATTTCCACTTTTCTTACCAGGGCAAAAAAAAAGCAATGATTGCATTTTCCTGAGCACTACTCTTACCTTTTAGTTACAAGTGTACCTTGAGAAGTGAGCATTAGACTTTTAAGGAAAGAGACTAAAGTGGAATCCATTTCAAGTGGCCCCTGCAATACAGCTGGGGATTGGAAACATCTGTCTCTCAGGCCGCTGTTAGCAGCCGGTGCTGGAGGCAGAAGGAGGAGGGGTTCTTCTCATCACTGAGTTGGAACAGAAGGAGAAGACTCCCTGCTGGGCTGGGGAGCTGTCAGACCTGTACTCTCCAAGCACACCCCTGGCATGCAATATTGATGGGCACCATTCTTGGAGGAGGGACAGCAACTGAGGGAAGGGGCAGTAGGTGTCAAAAGAATTTATTAACCCAGTGAGGTGCAAAAATGTAATGAATAGGGAAGTGGCAAAGTGGGATTCATAACAGGGAATGAAAAACAAAGAAGAAATAATGATAAAAATCTTTTCTATGTTTTCAAGAGAAAGAACTGGTGTAGAAATTGGAAACATTTCCAAGCATTTATGGAAGGAGTGACTTAGGGAAGGTTAAGATTTAACTGCGTGAAACCAAAGGTCAGAGTGTTTAAATCCACATTTCCTTTATTTACATAAAGCAAGAATATCAAAATACATAAAACAAAAACAGTAGAAAGTAAATATAAATAAGTCTGATTCGTGTTTTTGCAGAGAGGGGCTTCACTCCATTATGTCTCATGTGTTATCTAAGATATTTAAGCAAACATTTTGTAAATATTAATTGCAGATGATATGGAAATGAACACAAAGCAAAAAATAGCTGCACAAGTAGCAATTAAGTAGAAATTCAGTAATGAACAATGACTAAAGTTTTAAAGGCTTTTCAAAGTCTAACAAGGATAATACAGTAAATGCTGGCTGGGTTCTGAGGCCTCTAGGACAAAGGCCCTGGAGAGGAGTTTTAGTTTCCTGTCAGAGAGATCGTCTCATCCTTTGCATGATGTTATTAGTGAAGAGAACTTCTACACAGAAGTGCATAATTTACAAAACTTTCATACTAGCAATTGCATTTGCTGCTCACAGCACACCTCTAAGGTAGTTAAGTGTTTCTATTACCTCTTTTTCCAGAGGAGGAAACTGAAATCTAGAGATATTAACACACTTGCCTAAGGCTGCTAAGCTAGTCATAAGCAAAGGGAGAATTCAAACACATGTCATTTGTTTTCTTTCATACAGCGGTGTATTTTGGGTTGCTTATCTGGGTTTAGGACCTTGAGAAATGTTTTATGTTTGCTAGAGCAGGCTCAAAACTGCTTCTCGAAAAGAATTTGTCTCCACCCACCTCTGTGTGGAGATGCAATGCCTTCTATTAACACACGTCTTTTTTCAGGTCCCGCAGGATGACAATCCCACCCTAGGCTCAGCTGCCTTTAAAGCACACAGTTTCATGTATAACTGGCAACTTGAAATATTTGCATTCTAGGTATTTGACAGGGAATATCTAACTCACTTGCTATCAAAAGCGCAATTGAGCAAAAAAAAATACTTACGGAAGCCACTCTGAAGGGCGTGCCAGTATTTCCCTAGGCAGCCAAAATCTATCCCTGGATTAAGCCAGAACAGGTAAGTATTGTGCCCTGGACTGAACTGCTGAATCCCTGTGGAATTATTTTGCTGAATTTATAGTTGGGCCTTATACCATCTACTTACACTGAGGGACACGAACAGAAGTAGCCTTAGGAAACTCATTGCTGTTTTTACTTCAAGGGTGTTGTTCACTGTATTAACAAAATGTCTTCTTTATGAGGAACCAAAGGAGAAATAATTGAGCTTCATCCAGACATGTTTTTTCCTCATGGACACATGGATCTTGCAATTTACCACATTCCCCTCTTGAAAGCTTTGAAATAATAAATTCATGACCTGTTGCCAGGAAATACGCTGGGAATTACACCAAATATTTTATATTCTAACCGCTCACCTGACTTTATCTTTTCTAATCTTATTTTCCTATTTTCTCATTTTTTTATCCACTTATTTAAATATTTTTCCTTCCATTGAAATGAGTGTATTTTCATAAATCACCTTGAATCATTTCTTTCTAGTAGGATTTCAATAAATAAACACTGTGGAGCAAAGTGAGAGAATAAGATTTAAATACACCTGGACTCCACTCCCTTCCCCCTATGTCTTTAGTCTTTTTATAGTGGTCCTTCAAATAAGGAATTTAGGACTCCACCTAAAAGTAGAATATCACTGAGTTTCACTGAGAAATGATAATGTCAACTACTATTTTACAAAGTTCCAAACAACATGTTAAAATACAGGAAAACTTTCTGCTATATGATTACCGGCATAAGAGAATTTTGGCCTGCTATCCTAACACATTTCTTTATTACTTATAGTCAGTAAATATATATGATAGTTTTAATTGCCTCACCACTAACACATACCTTAAACCCTTCCTACTGGGATTCCCTCCTTAAAAAAATCCTAAAGGCCACCAATGTCCTATAGCTGATAAATCCAATAATTTTTTTTATTATTCTCTCTCTTTTTTTCCTTTGGTGAGGTAGATTGCCCCAGAGGTAACATCTGTTGCCAATCTTCCTCTATTCGCATCTGGGACGCCACCACAGCATTGCTTGATGAGCGGTGTGTATGTCCGCGCCCAGGATTCAAACCCACGAACCCTGGGGCTGCTGAGGCAGAGCAGAGCTGGTGAACCTAACCACTATGCCACCGGGCTGGCCCCATATTATTCCCCTTTTTAAAATTTTAATTTTAATAATACCTCTGTCAACCACTTCCTCCATCTTGAAACTCTCTCTACCTTTGATTTTTTCCTGCTATACTTAGAATCATTCATTCTTTCATTCAAAAATATTCACTGAGGAGCCACCGTATGTTAAGCAGGGTGCTAGTTGCAAACTCTTTATTTATCCTTACATGTTCTATTTAGTTTTGCTCATCACACCCAAACCTTAAATAGGAATATTTCCCAAAGTTCTTTCCCCAGTTCTCTTTTCTGCCTCTGCACTTTTTCCCTTGGAGGCTCCATCACTTGTGACTTCCCGTCTGCAATTCCAGGGAGAATCCCGTACCCGCCTCGTGCACACCGTGCACATCTGAAGCAGAATTCGCCCTCTCCCGCCTTGAACCAGTTGCTGCTTCTGACCTCCTCCACTGCTCCCACAGTCCTCCCAGTGCCCCCCGAGGTGTGAGTCCTAAGTGCATTCTTTGTGTTCTGCCACTCTTCTGCAATACTTCTAACTGGCTGTGAGATACTTTTTCTTCTGAAATGTATTCCACTTTCCGTTCTCCAACCTTGGGCCTGGCTCCTTCCCCTCTCCCCTCACACCTAGATTATTGCCAGAGCCCACCTAGACACCCAGCCTCCGGGGAGTCTTTCTGTGCCCTCCACCAGTTCGGTCCGCACATCATCACCAGATCAACCTTTAAAAAGCACTGTTCCTCCTGTATCACTTGGCTGCTCAGAGACACCCTACAGTTTCCAAAAAAAGTTCTATTTACCTTTATATTTGAAATGTCTCAATCGATTTTTTGGCCTTTTGAGAAAACTGCCAGGCAAGTACAGAATACAGAGATAGGGAAAATTAACGTTCATATCTTCAATTCAAATTGTTTTTCAATAAGAAATGACAAAGGGTAAAATTTCAGTCTGAGTCAGACTCATTTTTTTAAACTGCTGTTGGAAACAAGCAAAAAAGGCCCATGTTAGAGCCATTAATCGTGGAAATGGTATCCACAGGGGAACAGAGGCTTTGCAGCTTCTCCAGAGATCTGTAAAGCAGGTAGAAACCTCGAGCACAGCCTGGCAGCTCTGCTCCCTGTTGGTTACAGACAGCTTGTCCCAGCTCTGCAGCGCATTTAGGCTGCTCATCCACCATCCAGGGCTTTCTCTTGGAGCATATTCGGTAACGATAAGGCCCCTCTTGTCACATGCACGATGCCACATGTAATTAAGTTCGCTCCTCCCTTTAGACAGTTCACATCGGCAGATGACCAGCTGGATACCATCCAGCTGGAAAAACACCCAGTTTTGAATGCAATAAGGGGAATCAGAGAGAAGGAAAATGGAGAAAAATGATCAGAATTTTCCTATAAATGCCTTGAAGTAACATTCATATCTCCCGATGTCCTCACAGTGTCTTCTCTGAAAGAAGTTCTATCTCAGATCATGTGAGGATAGAAACGGTCTTGAGTGAGCAATAAACAGAAACTGTTGAGAAATGCACTATAATAGGAAGGCAGAGGCTGGGTTTGTGTCTGTCCCAGGGCTACGGCGGAGAGAGGGCGGTTAGAGAGGGGAAGAGTGTGGCTGGGGTAACCTGGGTGTGAATTCTTCCTCCTCTCAGTTGTTAACTGGGACACCTTGGCTGTGTGACTGAATTTCCCTGAGCCCTAGTGTTTTCATCTTTCAAGTGGAGCTCATTATAACTTGCAGAATTGTAGTGAGGAATAAATGAAATTAAAAGCATGGTGGTAAGTGGTAGCCCTGCTTTGTATTATTACTATATCCTAAAACACCTTCTCGTTATTGTGGTTTTAGAAGAAAAATGCATCTAGTTCATACAACAGAAAATTATCAAGAGAGGACTTTCTCATTTATTTGAGACAGTTATTTTCTTATGTCTGTTCCTTGTTTCATGGTCTCTTGTGCGCATTTTCTTTTGATATCGTGAGGTTTCTCCAGTTTCGTTTTTATAAAGCGCATTTCTTTGATGCACACCAAATTCAACAGAGCAGCTCCCTCTGCACCTAACTTCAGGGGGAGGCAGAGCAAGGAGTGATTTTAGTTTCCTTTTCTTTAGAGTCAAAGGCAGGGGAACCTAAAAGCAGAAGTGTCTAGCTTTATCAATTTTCTGTTTTCTCTTTCCTTCATCCAAAATGTACGATTATCCTGGTCAGGGGCCGACTAAACTGAGGGAAGGAAAACCATCCGCGGCCCGTGAGGGCGCACACCTTTCAGCCTCTGTGCCCCTGCAGCGGCCCTGAAGGCTGGATCTTCAGCTCAAGACAATGGCGATCAGACGGAAACAAGAGAGCGTGAACACCTCGCTGCTTCTCAGCATAAAGCACAAGCCAATACTCTTTCTGTTGCAATAAAACGTCCATGTTGGCAAAGGCCGTGAGGGATGGATATACTTAGTGCTAACCTTGACTCTGGACAATACAAAGAATTAAAAAATCTAAATGGATCTCGGAGTTGGCTAATCTTCGTTCTTCCTGCTGCAAAAGAAGGGCGCTCTGAGGGTCTGGGAATGTTACTTTGCATTGAGAATGAAAAAATGAATATTTGATGTGAGTAAATACAAGGCTTTTAGTGATTTTCTGTTACTCAAATTTAAGGCATGAATAATGCTCAGGAAGTTTTATTATTTTCTTTGACAGGCTATTATTTGTGTAGGTGAAAGTACACCCCTCGAGGATGAAAATGTTGTGGGTCCTACAGATTATAAATACCAGTATCTCCACCTGAGAGCATGCTAGAAGAGCTTTTTGGCTACTGCAAAACAAGACTAAAAATGGATGTTTTCCCGAGGACGAGAGAGGGGAAGAGAAAAGGTGTAACACATTGTAACAATAACCTGGTTCTGCATTTGTCACTCGTGCATTGTATTCAGAACTCAAGGTTGAGGAGCTGATGCCTTTCCTCCTGGGAAAAGCAATGATAATTACATGGAAGGATCTTCATTTCAACAACATCTTTTATTTTAAGATCTCAGGGTACTTCAGAAGCATTAATCAGTCAGGCCTTTAAAGCACTATTTCACACACACACTTTCTGTGGGAACTAATCAAGAAAGACCATATATGATTTGTTAGTGGCCAGATTGAAAATTGAATTTAGGAATTCTAAACTCCTCTTGTTATTTTTACTTAAAATAATGTCATCTTTATGATAATGACACATTCAAAACAGAGCCTTTGATTCAATCTAGTTTTAATCAATCCTAGATCCATTTAGAAAGGCCCAATATGGAATTTATAAGGGCTAAACATAAGAAAGAGGTTGATAACACTTAAGCTAGAGAGAGTCACGAAAAGGAGAATCTGGAGGTGAGAATAAAGTGCTAGGCTGAGGTGGGGATGGCAGGTCAAGTGTTAAGGGATTGTCTAATTCTTCGTGACCTTTAACCCTATAATGGGAACAGGCTGGATTCCTGAGCCAGGCCACAGGATGCAGACGTCTCTGTGTCTACCCATGTATCTCTCTGGACAATCTATGGATCACATTTCTGGCCATTTTTTTCAGCTAATATGGCCACATGTTCACTTGGGAAAAGATCTCTGGCCTTCCATCCATGTTCAGGATCCGCAAAAGTGTCTGGAGCTTTAAAGGTAAAGGGAAGTAAAAGTTGACCTTTCATAGGTCTAGGGAAAAAAGAGCAAGCCAGAAGCAGGACACTCAAGACAAAAATATGTTGGGTTTATTCTTTCTATTGTACAATTCTCCTCCAAGTCAGACATTGATAAAGTCAAGTGCACCATAAAAAGCATATTTACCTCATATTTTCTTTCCTGTGTACAGTCACATACATTTCGTAGACTCTCCCTTGGGGAATGGCCCCAGCAGGAATCAGCAAGCTTACCCCTGAATAGCAAAAGAGAAAAGCAGTCACATAAGACCGATGACTCAAAAGGAAACTTCACAGAATGCCTTTGAAGCATGTGAAAGGGATGGAGGAGATTTTGCGGCCAGGTAGCCATACGCCTGCTTTTTCTCTAAAGACATGTAAATACTCACAGCTGCCCTGCTCTCCTTCCTTATTGGCCATATTTGTTACCACTGCTCCCTCTGATCTGTTATGGAATTACTTAAAGGAATGATGTAATTCTTTAAACTCTTGTCTTATTTAAGGGACAGACAGATGGTTCCACTGTTGTTTTCCTTGAAAAGTGAGGGGAAAACCAACAACTGCTCTTAAAATTTCAAACAGCTGTAATGATGCATCGTTTCTAATTAAAAAAAAAATCCCCACAAGATTCAGAGTCAGGGAAATGCTAACCTCAACAATATAAAACACAGTTATTTCTGAAATATCTGGTTAGCGTCAGTGTTTTTCCATAACAGAATAATACTTGGTAAAGAATGTCTTTCATCATACGTAACTCTAGAAAGTGGACAGTAACTGCTGGTTTTAGTCACGGCAGGTCAAGCAGGTTTTTACTTAGTTGCTAACTGGTGCCATTCTGTAGGACCATTGGACTGAGCTCTGTTCTAAGTTAACTGTGCCTATAGCAGGGGTTTGCAACTTGAGCTTGCATCAGAATCACCTGGAGGACTTGCTACAACATAGATTACTGGATCCTACCTCCAGAGTTTCTGATCCAGGAGGTCTAGGGAATTCGTAGTTCCAACAAGTTAGCAGGTGATGCCGATGATGGTGGTCTGCAGACCACACTGTAAGAGCCACCACCGGCCTGCACCATGGTAGCATCATCACAAAGGGTAATTCAGGGTGGGCAGCGACCTGAAGGTACTGGGCTCCATGATTTTATTCCAATAAATGCAGTTTATTTCTACTCAATAAAAATTTATGGAGCATCATCATGAGTACAGTGTTTGACACTGTTGTGAATGCCAAGAAGTAAAAGATAGCGTTCTTGTCTTTGAGTAGCTTATAATTTAATTAGCAAGGAAATCGAATAGACCAAATGAACACAGGGCAATAAAAACTTGCCTGACCAGGATGAAAAGGCTGAAGAATCAAGAATGGAGAGTTAAGGAGGCATAGTTATTCAAAGGCCTTTGTGTAACTGATTGAAAATGTTGAGTCACCACCTTCTTGAGAAGGAAAGTCTTGTGACAGCTGTGCTGCTGTGGGAAGTGAAATGTCACCGAGGGTACAGAATGGTCTGCTGAAGCACAGAGTGCCTCACATGCGGCTGCCAAGCCTCAGTGGTTATTTTCATTTTTTCCAATAGGAACAATAAAATGTACCTTTATGTTTATTATGGGGATGAAATAAAATTATGATGTAAAGTAAAAAGAATAAGGCCTGACTCATCTTAGGTAACTATTGTTACTCTGTTAAATAAAGTGATGTACGTAAATCACCATTGCCTAGTTCATTGAAAGTATTTAGTACACGCTAGCTCCCTTCTCTCCACTTAAGAAGCCTTTATAATAATTCACATATGAAAAAGTGACAGGTGTAGAAATGGGAAGGAAAGGTAGAATCCAGTGAATATTATGAAAAAATTGTCTTGGGAATAATATAACGTTTAAACAATAGTGTATATCTTGATCTATTCATTTGATAGACTATTAAAAATATATTTAAAATCATGATTTAATGAGCAAACAATAGCATGAGAATTAATGAGAAAAAGGTGAAAAAAGCATTTTATATAATGTATGATCTAAGCTACGTAAATGTATAGAAAAATGGAAAATTGATATTGTATTATGTATTTCAATTTATTAAAATATATGTTTAAAGGCATGGGGTGAAAAATTACCAAGGCATTGAAATGGGGGACTGAATAAGAGGAAGAATTGGACAAGTTCATATTCAAACCTGAAGACTGGTTGGTTCTGTACATCATTTGGCTGTATGACTGTGTACACATTATATTCCTTTCTTACGTTACACGAAGACTTTACGTCAATCAAATTGTTTCTTCTTGCTGTATTTGCAAAATGTTCAGCCTTGTGCAAAAGAGCTAAGGTAGATTCACAGAGGAATCCATTAACCCTCTTATGATCAATAGTTCCAAGCCCATTACTACTATTGATTAATGAATACCAAACTTTAATCAAACATTATCAGTCAGTAACTTAAATTCACCCTTTAAGATCTTTATGAAGCTTATTCTCTTGAAGTAGATAACTAGATAATAAACTGAAAACTGAATAATACTACAAAAGTGCACATGAAGAAGCTGTGATTCTAGAGAGATATCAGAAGTAGGAGTGAGTACCTTATAAATACCTTGGGGTTGAAGAGTTAAGTTAATATGAGAAGATTTGATGTCTTTTACGATGTCCTCTGATCACCTAACAGTTAGTATTCTAACACATTGCTTCCTGTAGTAAACTGGAATTGAACTACTGATATGTTTTCTAATTAATTTGTCCTTTTAAAGTGTGATGACAACAGTGAGGGCTTCTGGCTTGACGTTGCCTTCTGATTTCTATTAAAAGAAGGTCAGTGACTGTCTAACTTACACCTCGGCAGAAAGTCATCAGGATAATATTTCTAGAGGAAGTGTTTTCAGAGTTGGTTTGAGGAAGATAAATGGTTTGCTGATTTTATCTGAAGTAACGGTGGTTTACATTGAAAGTAGATTTGGGTTAGATGGGCTACATTAAACTCTTCAGGCCTAATGGAAACAAATAAAAGACTTTGGTACAAAAATAAGTTTTCAAGATCTATCTTTGCAATTTAAACCTTTAGGAATTACCTGAATTGGGAACAATAAGGTGGCCCCCAAGGGAGTTGAAGGTCCCAAAGGCAGTACAGGATGGATCAGTCTGCCTTGCTAGACTCTGATTCTTCAGGCCGAGGGCCTCACTCTCCAACAAGGATTGGGTCATCTGAGGGGACAGCTTTGAAGCACACTCAGAGAGGTCATCCTGGGGGGTGACAGCACCTGAGGTGTTGTACACTTTGATTTTCAGGTTGGGCAGTGGATCCAGAATTGGAGAGTTAGTCATTGGGATCTTGTCCGAGACATCATGCAAGGCATAGACGGGGCCTCTGTACATGGCTGCAGCTGATGTGAGGTCTGGGGGTACTGCCAGGATATCTGAGTCGGAAAGAGAAAGGAAGTCCATTTGCATTCTCCATTCAGGCAACTTACATTAGTCAGACTCACTCTGACACTTTGTGAGCCAAAAGCAAAGCAACTCAGTGAATATTCGAGATGTATAGACTCTAAGCTTCTGCTGAAAATAGGGCAATTAGATGACTAGGATGCATTTTATTATTGGCTACAAATAAATAGACAAGTTCATTTTATATTTTGCCTTCATGTCTACTCATTGCTCCTAGGTATTTTGCTATTCCAATAGATTGGATTCATAGACAGTGATCCCCACTAGGTGACTGCTGGGTAATAGTTTCCCTTGTCTACACTGGATTTGGGGCATCTGTAAACCACCGTATTCAGAGCAATACAAGGTGTCCTGTCAAAAGGAAATAAAAAAAGGGACTCAAGAAATCAGTCAACGGATCTGTGTACTCTTTTCAAATAAAAGTTAAAAAGTATGACAGAGAAACCTGTTAAAGAAGGAAAAAAAAAAATGATGATTTGTGCACCTTGTCACCTCCAATCCATTATGTGAATGAAGTTAATACAGTAATGAACAAAACAGACCCAAATCCCTGTCTTGATGGAGCTTATGTTCTAGCTGAACCGCATGACCTGAATTTCACTGATTCTGACGCCCCACAGGAGACTGTTCACATGCATAGGTCACGGGTGTGAAGTGCAATGTTCACTGACCTTGTCTCGCTGCCTTGATGTTCACAGGCTGAAAGCCTCCATTGAGCGCCGAAGAGTCAATAATATCAGACTCAAAGTCACGGTGATTCTTCCGATACACAAACAGGGCCACGACTACAGAAATGGCCAGGCACAGGATCACTGCAATCACAATGCCAACATACAGAGCAACGTCATCTGAATCAGGAGCGGCTGGAGGGAGGAGGAAACACCGCACCAACCAGTTAGAGACACTTCCCACCGGACAGAGACCTGTTGCTATAATTTTTCAGACATGTATTGCCTTTTTTATAGGTTAATTTCAAATCTATTTCGAAAGCTATACAAAATGACTATGGCCTTTCAGTGGAAAATTAGCTCTGATTTCTTTTCCTTTCTCACTCTGCATCTATCCACCCACTAATCTATCTTATATTGGGCAGCGTAACAGACCATTTATTATGAGGCATAAAAAGAAACTAGAGCTAAAACTATCCCACCCCACAGCAAAAAAAGTTTACTACTAATTTCAGGTGGAAAAGTTTGGAAAGGGAGGCTTTGAATTCGTTGATAGTTCTTTCAAAACATAAACATAAACACTCTATTAGAAATATCTGGCATGTCCTGAATCTGTATATTTATTGAACCAGAATATTTTTCTAAGTATAATTCCCAGCCATGAGATTACTTTCCATAGCTCTCCTCTCATTTCCCCTGAATCGGTGAAGGGGTGGGTGGGAAGGGTGGAACTAAGCAAAGCAAATATTAGGAGCAAACATGTTGGATGTGAAAGGCGTGCTTTCAGAAGACCCGGATCCGGGGGGCAGAGGTTAATGCCGATAACTCCAGGCTTTTGACACAGATTCTGGATTAATTCTGAGAACACTGAGCTTCTCATGGTCTCTTCTCAGGATTCACATTTGAGTTACTCATTACTGGAATAAAATATAGCTCCATGGTGCGCTGAGTAAGATAAAGGCCTGGTACAGCGATCAGAAAGGTCAGACTACCCCAGAAGGCAATTAAGCATTTGACCAACACAGTGTGTCGTCATTTGGGAGATGTTTCTGGGTAAAGCAAGAAGAAAATTCCTGTAAATGTTGCATGTTGCCTTGGTGGCATAGAATATGCTCTGATCCAACTGCAAAAGGTGATAAGAGCTGATAATTAAAATAAAACAAACAAAATTAAACCTTTCCTGAATCCCACTGACATCTTGAAGTCTCTGTTTTTAGCTTTCTGTGACCTGCAAAAATTTTCAGCAAAGTTAAATGAAGCTCCTCCACTCACCGTAAAAGAGGTGTTCCAACTGGTCTTTCAGGTGGTCAGGAACAGACTTTTTATGCTCAATTTTATATCCATGGACATTTTGGGAGGACAGAATTTTCAGGTTTGTAGGTCCCACAACCTCCTAAAAGTTGAGGGACTACCACTCTTTGCTAAGACTCCCAGCCACCTGGTTTTTCTGGGGAGATGACTGGTCATGTAGATTGCCAGTGGCCCACGGGATCACCCACACCCTCCTGTCGTGGTGTCTGACTCACTGGCAGGATAAAGGAATTCCCTATTGGAAGGCCCTCCATCTCTTTTAGCATTTTGTGTTTAAATGTGAAAGGATTTTTTTTGTTGTTTTTAAACTACTATATTTCCCAATGTTTCCAGAATATCTGCTTTCCTATCAATCGAGTCAGTATTGACAGGTCTTCTCAGAACACCAGTGACATCCCCAACACTCTTGGCTGCCTGTGCACTGCTTCAAAGTGCTGACTTCACTTCTGCTGGGTTTTATCTGAGGGCCTGCAGCAGCAGCATTCTGGACTCTGGTCGGAATATTACATCCAAATCCTTAACGTTTTACTTTACCAGGCTGTAATCGCTTATTCAACATTTATGATTTCTACCTCATAGATCTGCATTTTCTCAACCCTTTACTTTTTTAGCATTTGAATCCTGCCCTTTGTTTGTACCAGCACGTTTCCTGATATGTTTGTCAGCCACTGGGACTGAAGATTTGAATGGTAGACTGATAGATTGTAAAGCTGGCAGAGACTTCAAATGACCCTTTCTTCTCTTCAGAGGCGACAATCTAATTTGTTTTTCATGTTAGAATGTATTAGGCACCTATTTCCTGTGCGCACATCTGTGATCCAAAGAGAGGTAAACTTGAACTGGGGGCGATAACGTTAAATGGTTATTCAGCAACATAAAAACCAAACGTCAAACTTACAAGAAAATCCATATTCATTCTGGGTTCTCTGTTCAGTTGAAATAGGATAAATGAAACCTTGAAAAAAAACAAAAAATGAAACAAAAATGGGAACAAAATCAAATTAATGAGGGAAACAAAATGAGAAGTATGAAACATGGTTTAATTAAAAGAAAAGGAAAAGAAACCCGTGGTCCTTTAAAATTCTGGTTCAGTACAGAATTATGATTTTGCATATCCTGTCTGCTCTGGAGTCTCACTAAGAATTAATAAGTAGGCAGATTGAATTTCAGAGCAAAAACTGGTCTCGAGTCACTAACTTTGGAGTGCTTAAAGTCTTTCTTTTATTGAGCATAAACTCTAATGGATCTAATTTATTTCAGACATCAAGGGTCATTAGCATAAGGAAAATCTTTTTTCCTTATCCCCGCCATATGCTTTAATTCCCAGGACATATTCAGAAAGGTTCTAAACAGTGTTTTTCTTTTTTATTTAATCATAACAGCTTGCTTTTGGTCTAATAGAACTAAAGAAGACCTGTCGTCCTTGGTCAAAGGTTAAAGACCCATTTACTGACTGAGCCCAGACCACCTCTCCCCTCCATCTCAAATCCACTTTTTGGATTTTCTGTTGTTTCATGCCCCCCCTTCCCCCATCCATTTAATAGGAATCCAATAGGTTTCACCCAGGGGCTGGGCAGTTTGTCAATGCAATGGAAACTGGATGCTTTTTATTTGAAATCATTCAAAAATCAATAGGGCTTAGAGGTTATAAGGTTACTTATTTTAGGGCTTCAGAGGAATGGTGTAAACTGGGAAAAATAAAAACCTCATCTCAACAGTAAGTGCAGAAATCACAGTAGCAGTTTTATTTTTCTGTCTTTTTAGTGTATTCCAAGGTAGGAAACATGATGATGATGATGATGATAATTAATGATAACAACAATAATGCGAAGTAGAAGATTGGGAAGAAACATTTTAAAAATGTGGCACATAAACTTTTTGAAGTGAAAAATCTATGGAAATTTTTAAAGTCTAACTTATAACTGGTACCCACAGTTTCAGAATATTTAATATTCTGCAACATATGAATTAATCAAATGATACAGCACCATTTGGATTAATCAAATCAAGATGAATAAGAAGCATGTGAATTAAACTTTCCTAGTAATACTCAAGGGCAAAAAATGTAGAGAAACTGCAAGAATCACAATTAACTGGTCCAAAACTAAAGGTCTGTAATGCTTTAATACTAAAGGTAACTCTAAATCGTGCCTCAGGTAGATCTTTTGTAGTTTGCAGAACACTCGGTTCTTACAAGCTATTTACCTATTTTGAGGAGCTAATTCTGGAGGAACATGCAGTGCTGCCTTAATGAAAGCGAGGTTTGCTGTAGCACAGACAGGTTTGCTCTGAATTAATTTTTAATGCTTTATTTTAGAGCAATGATTGCAACCTCCTACTCAGTTTTATAAATATTATATTCCTTATTTCAGTTGTCTGAGTCCATGTATTAGGTTTGATTTTCATTTTTAAACACTTCTGTCTGGTAATAACCTTTTTCTATTTACATTCTGTGAACTCAATAAAAGGACATCTGGGACATATACAGGCCCTAGAGAAAAGGTTATTTATTTTTGAAACTCAAAGACTTAAGACAAAACAAATTCACTGCTAGTGGAGGAGACCAGGTAATGGATGCCATCATGTTGGTAGGGATGATGCTAAGTAGAGGGATGTCAAAAGATTTATTTTTTTGCAGGTGAGAAGGCCTGGGAATGAGATAAAATAGGATATGTAGGGATGGTCTGATGTTCACTCTGAAAATTTTGATAAAAATCTGCTTGAGCCTGCTAGAGTAAGCACGAAAACTGTATCTTACCAAAAGAGAAGCATCTCTCCAGAGAGATGTAACATGCTCTGAAATTTCTCCCCGTGAAGCAGTTCTGGGTTCTCCTTGGCTTATATCCCTACTTCTCAACAGAATCCCTGTTCTTGACAGGCAGACCAAAGAATAACAAAACAGAACTTGATAATTTTGATTTTAATCTCAACTTTCCCATATTTATGCAGATCTGGACCACTCAATAAATATTTTTGTGGTTTATGGAATTTATCTGAGAAATGTAATGAAAGTTACATTTCATTCCAGGCATGGAAGTGGAATACATTCATTCATTCATTTAACAAATACTCTTGAACCCTGTTATACGCTGGGCTCTACTCTAGGCATAGAGGTACAAAGACAAACGAGATAGGAAAGTCCATGCTTCTAGTTCATCAGAAAATAAGCGCAAGTAAACAAAATAATAATAAAGACCATTTTGAATGCTGAAAAAGTTCTTTTAAACAAACAAAACAAAAGAATGTAATGTGGTTGGAGACATAAGGATGACCAACTCAGGGAATCAGGGAAGAATTTTTTGTTGAAATGAAATTTGAGCTTAAGTTGGAATGCTGAGAAAGAATCAGTCAAGCAAAGATCAGGAGAGCACTATGTTCCATGGAGAAGGACAGTAAATGCAAAACATAAAAATGGAGTGTTTGGAGGGTAGTGAGTGAGAGGAAGAAGGGAGGAGGTAGACTCAGAGGGTGAGCAGCAGCCAGATCATGTAGGCCTGCTGGTCCATGATGAGGCATTTCGATTTTTCTCTAAATGAAATGCAAATCCTGTGATCGAATGTAATTTTGAAAAGATCACTTTGATTTCTCCATAGATGATGGAGAGCAAAGTGACAGGATTTTATGGATGGTGTCTATACACATGGCTTGGGAGACGTGAATCAACAGATACATCAATATATTTGATGAAGTGTTTGCTTTCGAGGTTGTTCTAACATAAAATAAAAATAAAAAAATAAAAATCTCACAATAGTTATTTCTCATTGCCAATTAGGACCAATCTAGCTAAACTGTTATTTTCCTACATGGAAAAATTTAAGAGATGAGTATTAAGTATACTCACCAATGGTTCAACACCTCAGTTTACTCTGTTACGGAAACACTGATAAAAAGTTTTGTAGGCAACGCTGTAAAACTTTTTCCATCCTTTCAAAACACTTCTGCAACTATACAACTAAAACATCACTTAGGAGGCTGGGTATCAGAGAAGAAGGGGATTACTGTTCCATTCCCTAAACAAGGGGAACACAGAATCACTTTCTAGAGTGTGTTTTTACGCTTCTCCATCTGATCCATCTCTCACAGAACAACAGGGGACATTTTCTTCAGCTAATGAGATGACCCTGCTGAGAGCAGTCTTAGCAATAACAGGAAATACCATCTCTGGCAGAATGCAGTGCAAAATAATTGTTTTTAGTGTCACTATCAACAGCTTGGTTCATAAGTTAGGGATTTCAGTTAACTTTCCCACTACTTGAAAGTAAGGCTGACTGAAAATGCACCGCAGCTGTTGGCTGAGACGGTGGAACTGAGTTTTGCAGTTTCCTGGACTTCAGCCTGACTCCCAGCTCTGCCACTGCCTTAGCTATGAGAGCTTGCTCCAACTACTTCACTTCGCTAAGCTTCAGTTTTCTCATCTGTGTAAGGGGATACAATACTCACTTTCATATAGTCATGGAAAGGATAAATGACATTTGTAAAGTGCTGGTACATTGCAAGCAATCAACGGTCAACAGCTATATCAATATCATTATGATGCCCATTATAAGTACACTAAGATGCTGGGTTCTTAAGGGATCTTATTTGCAGTTGACACAGCCTATTACTTAGTAAGAGACCTTCGGAAATTTGCTTAAATTTCAGGTTCTCTAGTTAATTATAGAGACAAGGAGCCCAGATTTTCTGAGAAACCATGAGCAATGCACTCTTTTAAGTACTGTACACTCTTTCACGCTCTCCTTGTCAAGAGGTTTATTCCTGGCCTTTGTGGCTTCTGGCAAAGATATCATGGCATGTTTCAGAAGCAAATTTCCAGGGCCAGAGTGCAACTTGATGCTAAAATGGTTTCTCAACCAGGAGTGGCACCCCTTCTAAAGACGGTGTTTGGAAACAGGGCAGGGGAGGTGCTTTTGGTTGTCGTAGTGATTAAGGGGATTATTTGTGGCATTTAGTGAGTGAGGGCCAAGGATACTGAACATCCTGCAGCGGGAAGGGCAGTCTTGCCAGGGAAGAACCAGAACAAAACGCACCTCCATAGATAACAACTTTCAAAATCACCTCTGGTGGACTGACTGCATGAGCACAGGATGGGGCTCGGGGGTGGGCGCAGGACTTGTCCCTACCGGCTGCGGTAGCCTCGCCACCTGCAACCCGGGGGAGCCAAGCCCAGAGCAGTGCTTCTGCTCTGGGAAATGCTCAGGCCCTATACATCTGCGCTTTTTTTTCGTTTGGTTTGGTTTTTGTTACTTTTAAAGAACATTTATTTTTCAAAGGAGAAATTTTCCTGACCTGCGAGGATAGGGCTTGGAGGAAGTTTGATTGTGAGAGAAACTTTAAGGAAGTGAAGGCATAAACAATCTGAAAACCAGAGCAGAGTAGGCTGTCTTAAATAGTGAAATACTCCTTATGCTAGAGAGCCATCTCCTAGTTGCTTAAAACATCATTTTAAAAGATGATCTAGTCCAACCTTTTTCAGGTGAGGAAAATGAGTCCCAAAGATGAGGAGTTTTTTTTTTTTTTTTCATGAGGAAGATCGGCCCTGAGCTAACATCCATGCCAATCCTCCTCTCTTTGCTGAGGAAGACTGGCCCTGGGCTAACATCTATACCCATCTTCCTCCACTTTATATGGGACGCCGCCATAGCATGGCCTGACAAGTGGTGCCTGGGTGCGCGCCCAGTATCCAAACCCCGGGCTGCCAGCAGTGGAGCTGGCGCAATTAACCGCTATGCTGCAGGGCTGCCCCAATAAGTGATATTTTAAAGTTACCAAAAGTGTTGAGACTAAAGTTTGGTTTCCACCCTCCTGTCAGTAAAGCTGATGATGCATGTTTTGCTTTGTCCAACTCTGGGTGGCCCCAGGCACCTCTATGTTGACTGTAGATTTGGTCTGTTAATATAACAATTTTCCAGCCAATGGCAGTAAAGTGACTTAAGGAAGGAGTGACTTTTTCTAATT